GCTGAACACTGCACTGTCCAAAATGTTGTTTTGCAAAAGTTAGTGGCATAAAACTGCAAAGGGCTTACTTGTATTGTGCTCAGGTTTTGCACACTCAACACCATATGTTTTTATTGGATTTGGAGTTTTTACTGAAGAAGTAATAACAATATGTTATTGTATATTATCCCAAAAAACCCCGAAACCTTATCTTTATAATGATTACTTTTTTTCCAAAGATAATATTTAATGCCTTCAGCAACACAGATTCAAGTATATTCACCTTTCTTTTAATGGGTGGCAAAAGTTTCAAAGGCAAATATCTCCAAACCTCATAAAGCCAAAAATGGCTAGACAGCACTATATGTGAGAAAACATTTTAGTTTTTTTGTGTTATTTGTGTGAACTGACCCCTAGCACGCCAACATACAGATGCAATTAAGAACGAAGTAAGAAGTGCTTATTTGTGCAGAAAAAAATAGGAGCCTTATTCAACTGTTGCATCTTCAAAGGGGTAAATAAACAAGCAACTGTTTCAGTAATTAATTGCAATAAGTAAAGTAGTCACAACATTAAAATAATCACAACGACAGAATGTTAACAGCAACTTCGGAAACAAACAGATGAAAAATAAAGTGAAGAATCCCCTGATGTGATGAATTACAGATGAGAGTTGTAATGTGAGAGAGGGCACGTGTGTGTGTGTGTGTGTGTGTGTGTGTATATTAGTGAGATGAGACATGATAAGTATGGTGAGAGATTTATTTTTTCTTGATAAACTGAGGAAAAACATCAAAGAGTCTGTTTCATCAGATACTTGATGAGTTCCTATTCAAAAAATGTGAGAGTTGTAGGTTCACTTATGGCTCACTCCCCTGTTCACCCCTTCATGCCTTGAAAACTCTGGGAAGACATACCAGAGCTCATGCTTATCGTGGCCATGAATTTTCACTTCAGTGAATATATCCATTATGATAGCTATTTTCAGTGCCGTGAGATTGAATATATGCACTGGTAGACACGCTTCTCAACCCGTACTGCGCATGGATAGTCTGTTCTGCCGTGCATGATGGCGCGCAAGGGTGATGACCTAAATAAGAATAGCAGATACATGTTTCAGTTCACACAGAGATGAACATGTTGTGAATTTTCAATTAGACTCTGCAGACTTTGGCGCGCGCGTTTCTTAGCTGCCATTCTCTTTGATTTACAGATTAGAGTTTCTCCTGTTTCTTTCACTAGAGTTTAGAGCATTTTATTAAAGCATTTACTAACATCGTGTTATCATTAGCAAATCATGAGGCAAAACTACCAGAAGCGATTGAGACCTTGATCCTGAAAAACTATTACCTCAGGGATATTTTTGCACTACAGTTTTCAAAATGAAGACCACATTGCATAAAACCTTATTCCTTCTTAAGGGCAATTGCCCTTACAAAGTTAAAAAGCAAGTTGAAAGTATTTTTTTCTTCCATTGATCTTTACTCTTTCCATCATCAGCCCATGATGGGAAACTCTTAGCTTTAGCCACTGGAGGGGTAGTAGGGAATCGAGACCTGCAACGATTAGTGGATTAAACACTTAGTTGATCAACAGAAAGATGATTTATTGTTAATTACAATTTATTGAAGGTGCAAATGAGATTGGAAGCATTTTGTTTTCCTCTCAACGTGGCAATGCCTGAGCCAGCGACTCGTAGCTAATGGGTCTTGCAGTTTAAAGAACGGAAAACATGACTGACAGAACTAACTGTGTTTACCTGAAAGGGAACTGGAGGGTGGTTGCTACGCTTCTGTGACGACGCCGCCGTCGGTCAAGATGGTGTTTTCAGCTGTAACCGCCGTATGAGAGCAGTGCTGAGCAGCGGCCTTAAGCTAACCACTGGGACATGCTCACGTGCACGAACATGCACCAAAAGCATGGGCTGGCTGCTTGTGCTTTTCACAGGGGAAGCTCAGATAACAACACACACAGAGGGAGACCTGTTCAGGTATACATTATTCCACTATATCTTTACATAGCAAATATTTGTGTGCTATTATATTGATATGTTGTTTATTGCTCCTTTAACTATATTTGATAATCGCCTAATAGTTTGGGTCATGTTGTCCGGGCAAAAACGGCTAAGATTCACTGGTCACAACTTCTTAAATGTGAACATTTTCTCACAATTTTATTCATGGTTAACTCAATATCATTGGGACTATTTATGACAAAACTAAACATTTTAGATATCACCTTAGGCTCCGGGATGGACATTTTTCCCTATTTGCTATTTTGAGGAAGTAATCGGTAGGTTAATCGATAATAAAATTCCTGCGTATCATCCTGGAAGTATCAAGTACGGGGAATCTGGTGTCAGCCCTTTGGCCAGTTACCTCATTAGGTTAGTGTCATTTGAAAATGTTTACATGTCGTATTAAAAGAACATCCATCTTAAAAGAGCAGGTAATGGAATGTATTTATGTGTGTGGCTGGTGGTGTGTGTGTGTGTGTGTGCAAGTCATGTGGTGACATTTGTATTAGTCATTATTCACACTGACTTCATGTTAGCACGGCAGCACCAAGCCACACAGACATTGCCATAGAAAATGTACACCAGGGTGGAGTATGATTCATTGACTGTTAAGCAACAAACACACATACACATATTGAACATGTTTTATGGTCTTTTATTCCCTACCCAAAACGGATACAAAGTAAGGTGACAGGAGAGCACAGATGTTTTGACATTAAACACGTTTTAATTTCCTAAAACAAAATTTCTTTGGAAAAGCCTGAGCCGTGGAGAAACACGTTTTGCACAAGATGAATCACTATGATCTCACCAAGTCAGTTTGTTTAATAGGCAATTATTCATGCAGCACATTTCACACATTCTAACTTTCTATTCAAGTCAATACAAAGATTGCTTTTTAAATCGGTCAATATCCATATCTCCCTGAGCTCTGCAGGCAATATGCTGCAATTGCAATGCCTTAAATAGTTAATGGTATTCCAATTTTTATGGCAAAGTGGCTGGGTTATATCAAAATCCATTTGTTTTTCAGAGCTCCACTCAACCTCATCACCGTTTGCCCACTCTCGAGACATTCAGATTGGCTTGTTGGAATGATGCAGTTAAATCATGCCTGAAAAGTGGGTGATGCTGTGCGTAGAAGCTTTGTGTTCATCACTTTAAGAGGAAGTCCTTCAGTTTTATACTGGTATTTCTCAGTCTGTGTAAACAGTTAATGCTCCATTTGGCTTTGGAGGACAGAGTTGGTTCCATTTTGGCAAGTTTTAAATTTTCCGCCGGCGCTCATGGTGGCTTTTGGCAGATAAAGTGACAATCACCTGCAGCCAATTGTATCTGTAGTGAATTATAATAGGCTTATAATTTCAAATGTTCTTAACCAGGACCTCCAGTACTTTGGGGAAGTAGCTTGTGAAAACCAACATTTAATACCTCCTGCTGCGTCTCATTTTTATTTTGGAGCATTGGGTGGAATATGAATTAATGGACTAACTCTTTAATGAACATCTAATTTGATTTTACTTATTACATGTTTTCTTGGTGTAGACGTGGTGGATATTGGTTAATAATATTAAAAAGCACTTTGTATGACATATGGAGCCACATTGTTAATTGCAATAGGTAGAACATACTCATGCAGACAGTGACAATGAATAGATTTTTAAAAACACAATTAAATCCAAAACACCTGCTACTAAATACAAATTAACTACAGTCACTGGGATCAAACATTTGCCTCTAGAAGACTCCAGTTCAAACTGAAATCCTAATCTTTTCCCTCAGCTAATTATTCAAGGAACAAGGCCCAGTGTTCTGCCGTAATCCTCGGCCGTAATGACCGGATCCATTTAGCGATTTAGGTGTCCTCAAACAGCCGCAGCTCAAAGCACAAAGAGAGTCCACCTTATCGATGGAGCTGGTGCTCCGTTATCTGTTCCCTTAGAGGACAAGAGAGTGTGTGAGAGAAGGAGACAGAACGAGGTTGAAGGAGTCAAAGAGTCATGATTGCGATTATACCATACAATTAAGCTTTTGATGTTGTGAAATTGTCCAAAACTGAGCATTGACATGATCAAAACTTGTGATTTTATCGAATGTAATGCACACATATGGATACAGTCGTGCTATTGCTGCTGTGATTGTGATCATATATCGCTGCCACTCTGCCTTTTTTGGTGAGAGGAAATGCAAAGTATATTCTATTCGCAAGTAACCATTAGTTCATTAATATGATTTTTCTTTCTACATATGTATATTATAATCCAATTGAAGTTCAATGAAATGAGATATGCTATACTGCTTTGCATTAGATTAGATAGGGTTGGGTGATATGCATAAACTCATCTATCACAGTATATATATATGATAACAAATCAAGAGACTTTGTGCAAACATCCTGAACAGTGAAATTGTTGCTTGTCCATCCTCCTGTTTCTCCGTAAGACTAAGGTGCATATCAAAGCCACAGTTTACTTGTCTAACAACTTGTGATAACTTAGCTTTGAATTACAATTTGCTTTGATTTATTAAAACATTAACAACAACATCATATTTTCACAAAGAGTTGATTATATTGAAGTATCACCAAGCCTTGTACTGTATATAAGGTTATGTTGTTTTGTATGTTCATATCTGGATGTACAAAGTTGCCATTATATGAGTTATAGATACCTCTGCAGGTTATATTTATGTTTTAGATCAGAGGATTGATTTATACTGTTAGCACTTGATTCTGATTGGTTTAAACTGCTTGGGGAACATACACATGTAAATATTTAATTAAATTAAAGTTTTAGCTGCATTTATTGTAACGGCATGCTAGTTTGCAATTCCCGATGACTAAACAGTTGAGATGATCTTCCAGGCCCTCAAACGCTGGGGATTTTAACAAACCATCCAGAACTAATCTTCCTCAAAACTTTTGCCACTGACTCCATACATGTCTAGCGAAATTTAGGGCATTTGACTCACAAAACGCAGCTGCTCATCTGAAATAGCAATCCCAATGATGCCCCATTTATTATTCATTTGTGTGGGGGGAGAAAATAAGAGGATGAGAGGACAGAAAACGAGGTCTAAAACTTTTAAAAGATGAGGGAAAGTGCTGACTTCTGTGAACACTGAAACCAAGATGAGTGCAGATTTGAATACAAACAGGTGGGAGGGAGAATTGTATAGTACAGTGTGCCAAAGCCCTTTGTAAACATTAAGCCCCGAACTGTGGTGCATGGTTTAATTAGCTCGAGAGCCAAGCAAGTGGTTCAAATTAGGGTGAGACTATTGGAGAATAATAATCAAAAATAGGGAAGTCAGAGTGGAATGAGTAATGAATGGTGGCAGTCATCATGCCGCATACAGCTGGAGCTTCATAGAGAATGGCTGGATACGGTCCTCCTTCAGTGGAGTGGAGATTCATTCTATACAGTCCTCCCTTCAGGGACAAATAAAAAAAGAGGAAATGACTCATTGCTACATCAAAATCTTGTCTGATCAATTTCCGTAATCTAAGCATCTTTTTACCTAAACCCTCACCATTTCTTATCATTTTGCAACGCCCAGAGTTGCTTCTTTCCTTGAATCAGGAACATTTCTAGATTTGTCCTGCAGAATGACTTGGGCTGCCTCTTGGAGAGAATTACTCTCATCCTGGTCTCATTTCATTTTGGTCCCAGAGAAATCAATTTGGCTCCCCTCTTATATCGGACCCCACCAATTCCTTTTTCTCATCCGTCTCTAAATCATTTATTGTAAGGGAAGACCACCATCTAACTGAGAGATGTCAGCCATGGGTCGAGCTCAATAGGGAACACCTGGTACATTTTGTGTTTGTCAAAATTAAGATCACATTATCCAAAACTCCCACTGCCTCCTGTTGGAAAGAGGATGTCTGCACTTACAGTGTTTCTCCGTCTTCATGTTATGCTCTTCAGCTCTTCATCTAACATCTCACTGTGGCTGTTTCTTCTTCCTCAATGTTCACCGTTCCATTCTTCACTGCAATATTTAAAACATATCCGCTGACTAAAACACGGATATCTTGTTGTGAAGATCCATTTTTAGTTAAGCATGAACAAAATAATGGTAACCTCTGTGAGAAGTACATTGCATGCAAAAATCAACCTGGTTGAATGTTTTTAATGTGAAGCAGCAGCATTACGAAATGTTGGGTCTACATCAGCAAGAATAAGATGAAATCGTTCCATTCTCATGCCTGTGTGTTAAGTATGGAGGTGAGAGTTGAGTAGCATAGCTTAGCACAAAGACTATTCAAGCAAAACGGTTAACCTGACTCTGTCCAGTAAACCCCCCCCCCCCACCTCTAAGCAACTTTAAGCTCACTAAAGTCATGAAGCAAAGACATGTACATGAAGATAATGAAGGATGTAATGTAGCAAATATTGGCAAGCTGACCACCACTGTTGACAGTCAGAAAATTAACTATTTTGTCATTTTTAACCCCAAAGAGCAAAAATCACCTAGTTACAGCTTCTTAACTAGACTTCCTGATATTTGTGTCATGTGAATTATTAAACTGATTATATTTAGGTTCATTGGTGGAATTAAACAAGACATTTGGAAATGTTGATGGACATTTTTTTTTCAATTGGTTAATTAATTAATTATTCATAAAAAAAGATTAATTGATAATGAAAATAATCGTTAGTTGCAGCTTTAATGTTGGAAACCTAGCTGTTTCTTTGATCCACCAGTGTGACACCTCAGTGATTCGTTGACACCAACCCTCAAAGAAAACATATCCCGTGGGCCTCTCTTATACGTTTTCCTGTAACTGCCTTACCTTGAACACCTTGTAGAGAATTCTAATTAGAGCAATCTGATCTGAAGTCTTCAATGCCTGTTTTGGCCTTGAGTGATGTGGGAGAATCGTGTAGAAATGCTTTTCCTGTCACAGCTGCTGCTTCTGTACTTGCGTCTGTCAGTCTGTCTACTCGTCTACTTTCCTGCTGGCCACAGTTTGACAGCATATATACCAGTGAGTGTGTTCTTTCCTGCTTTTTGAATGGCAAATAAGTAATTTTGTCATAATGGAGACAGTTTGGTGTGCCTACTCTAAAATGCATGTATCAAGCAGTGGGCATTGATTCACTTAAACTACACTGGAATACGTCTAATGCTGCAATATTATTACCCAAAAAAGCTTTTAGAGGGAACAATTATTATAACTTCGAAAACAAATCATATCAAACTTTTGTGAAGCAACACTCTTCCTCGTACCCTCTTCTTTTCTCTCTATATATTTCCCATCTCACTCTTTTTTTATGCCTGCACGCTCAAATCCCTTCTTTCATTTGCATCGGGTCGAGAGGGCTCAGTGGGGTTTCAGCCGGCACGCATTTGATGGGAGATACAGTAGGAACGTTGCTCCCACACTTTTAGCTGTGATGACAGGCCATGTTATCTTAATGCTGCCTTGCCCCTGAGATGCTCACCACTGGGCTCCCAGAGAAAGCGATTAGGATTATTTGAATGTCAATTTATTTTCCTTGCCCACTATCGCAAACATGCTTCCTCTTCTGTCAGTTGGGAAAAGTCTCTTGTAAGAAGCCAATGTAATTTAGGTTGACAAATCAAGTTTTATTTCAGGGCTCTGTGGGAATGCAGAGCTGAGATTTGTAAGTGCTCTTTATTTAATGTTCCCACATCTCTCCCTGTATTCACATCTGTGTGATCGTAACCTCTAACACTGCACCAGCTAAGCTTAATTAAAAGTGCATATGGAAAGAAAAGACAGAAAAAGTCCTAGTTTTGTCTCCTACAGTAAAAATGACCTAATGTTATTTTGTTCACATTCATTTTTAATAATAACAGTTGTGTTAATTCTGCTGGCTAGTTTTTTAAATGTTCATATGCAGCAGGTTTGGTTTTAATTTCAATAATGATGTTGTCAAGCTGGTGTCTAAAGTTGAGAAATGATTAATGGAAATTCTTTAAAAAAGAAGGTTTGAGGGTACCAACTAATTTCCAGACATTCGCCTGATTTCCTAATAACAACCAAGTCCTATATGGTTGAGCCACACACACGCAGCTTTACAAAAGCAGCATTGTACCCACAAGATGGTGCTTTGTGTATTAGTCTCTCAGGAACTATTGTACACTGTTCACTGTTTGAATAAATATAAATCATCAGTTCGCTTCACTTTACCCTAGGTGACAGCTCACAGGCCTGTCTTTATTTAAAATGTTACCTCTAAAGATCTTCTCCAAACATGTTTTTAGACACACACAAATAACCTGCTTGGAATCATAATTATATACATTGAAAAAATATTAATATTTCATCTTCTCCCACGAACTCTAAATGTTTATCATTTCACATGTTTAACTATAAGATACAATATGACACTTCACACTTGTGCATATTGGAGCGTGATTGGCTTCCAATCTGGTTGCGATACCACAAAATGAGTCGTGATCATAGAGTTTAGAATTGGAAGAGTAATAAGGGAGACAGGAGGAGAGAGACGTAGAGAAAGATGGCTTCTATTCTCTGAGCATTCAGGGAGGTTTTTCAGTATGAAATGTTTGCAGGTGCCTCTGGGTTTCTGGACAAAGACAGTGATTTTTCTATCTGTTTTTGTAGCTGAGTTCTCTGCCTCTGCGCTGGGAGGACATTATCAGGAGAGAGATTGAAAGAAGGACAAGAAGGAAAAGTAAACTCAGAAAATTTCCTAGAAGACTTCAAAGTTTTAAATAGAACCAGATTCTCGGTGATGCAAAAATGTGACTGCGGTTCCATTAATCTCGACAGAAAACACAATTACGTGTAAACGCTGCATAGAGTCATTGGATTAAGTCTTTCTGGTATTGCATTTTGGTGCCTGATGATTCATTTTTATAGCCTGTGCAGGAGAAATTCTGCCATTGGAATTGCATACATTTTTCACATTATACCAGATGAATAGCTCTACATTTTCTCTAATGTTTAGAACATTTCTGTGTCCATACCAGTTGCTGTAGGTGTGCGTTTTATCGATGCAGTTATACAGAAATTGAAAACAACACTAATAACTATTTACATTCACTTCTCATTGACGATTGCTTGTGTTCACCATCTGCTTCTTCAACAACTCACCTTACTCACCTCAGCTGCAGGCTAGATGCCTTTTCATGATAGACAGAGCATCAAGCTGATTGACAGGTCTTGGGGCTCGATGATCTATATGAACTTGAGGCTATGAATGTAGAGCTGCCAATATCTTTCACAGTAAAACGTGGTAGAAGCTGCATAGGGATTGGATTTTAGGGATTAGCAGGCTGTCTGCATTCCAAGTTTCAGATCCTTTACCTGCTGTATTCCAAATATAGACTAATTCAGGTTGCAGGTGGAAATAAACAAGTTGTCATCACTGTGATGGAATTTCACTTGTAAACCCCAGTAAGGCTTTGGTGTTGTGTTGAACTGCATTTGCACAGCTTAAATACCTTTGAAACAACAGTTGATCTAAAAACAGTTCACTTGAATTTTAAAGTGTGAAAATGTGCCCATTTTAACCATCTTCCTGGACTGTGCTGTGACCAACTGCTAAAACGGTGATGCATACTTTCTATTTACCATATCCTAATATCTTATAGGTCAAACAATTCATTTTTGAAAGATTAGTTGATAAAGAAAACATAAATTTCATCTGATTGCAATGGAAAAAATCATAGATTGCAAATGTGTTGATTTATATTTACAGCAAAGCTAATTCTGAAAAGTAATGTCTCAACTTCATCTTGTGGAGGTCGGAGAACATGTTCTTTATTTCTTTAACAGCCGTTCAACCAATCTCAGAGTAGTGTATTGTGTCTGAATAACATTCATATACATTTATATGTCAGAAGGGAATAATTGCTGACTGTGATCAATCGGACCCTTTGTGCTTTCACACGCATTTAGTGAATCTGCTATCAGTTGAGTATGCCACAGCAGTTAAGGTGGCATTGCTAGAGAGTGCAACTCATAAATCAGCTGGTGGATTTGTCTATAGCAAAGCACACAGACCGCACAAAAATGACTACATAATGAGACAGTGGCATCTGATCAAACCCCCACATCAATAGACTGCCCTTATCTAATAAACTTCAAATCTCCCTTTTTCTGCTGCCTAATTGTTCATGAATGATTGATGGGCTTCGCAGAAAAGACCACCATCTCTTTGTCACGTGGAACCAAAGATATCACAAAGTCTTTGTCTGCGGTGAGGAGTCATATCTGGTGGAGCGATATTAAACCATAGAGGTCCAAATGCTAATAATATGCACACCCTTAGGCCTGGATTTGTTAAAAGAGATAAGGAGATTAATCTTTGTCCCAGATCAGTGCAATTTCTTGTGATATTGTTGGCGAGAGACAGCAGGCAAAGCTTGCTTTCTGGAAGGAAAATATAACCGAATAAGAAAACCACAATGAGGTCACCCTCGAATGTCAGTCATTTCAGTGGTCTTTTGGAGAGAAACAAAACAGAAGTGGAGAGAGAGAGAGTTAGAGAATGAAGAGATAAAAAGCGCAGCATCTGCAAGTTTTGCCGTCTTTGATGGTGCTGAAAGGGAAATGTTCTGGATAGACAATCCATGCCTCTGGTGAAATTCGTTCATTGTGTTTCATTTTTCCTCCAATCTTCCTCCTCTCATTCTTACTTCCTTTTCCGCTGCCTTATTCACATTCGTCTCCTTCCATTCTATGCCTCATTCCACTTTCTTTCTTTAAGGCCCTCTCCCTCTTTTGCCCCTCTCCTCTATCTCTCTTCTTCATTTCAAACCATTCCAGCCTCTCCTTTTTTTCTTATTTCTCTCCAGTCATTTGCAAATTCCTTTTCTCTTTTTTACTTCGTTCTTCACCAAACCCTCAAACCCTTTCTTCTTTTATGCCCTATTCTCCATGCCAGCCAAAGTCATCCTCTGGGTTGCTGTTCTCATGCATGCAAACCACATTCAAATCTCCTCCAATATCTGACCAAGCACCTCGCTCATGCTAAGCTGCAGAGACCAATCCGTTACCTTAGCTGGCCCGTAAAGCTGAATTCCCATTCAGAGGCTCAGTATGACCGCAGCTCCAAGCATTCCCACTGACAGCCAACTTCCCAAAGGTGTGTAAATGGGAGGGGGGGGGGGGGGTTGGTATGTGTTTGTGCAGAGAGAGGGAAAGAGAGAATGCATGTACAGCCTTAACAAACAAATGAGATGTATAATCAATGTCCTCAAGTAGAGGTTAAGCTGTATAAGGCCCGCTGTTGTCTTTTATTGAGTGCCGGCTGAGCATGCTTGCCCTTGAAAAAGTAAGACAATGACCTGATTGAGATGCAGTGACAGAAACGGGTTCTTTCACTGTGAAATTTCAGAGCTGGAATAAAGAATAAGCACATCTTGGACGGATTATGTCCAGATAATGGAATCATTCAGATCGAAAATGGAAGACGACAGCTTACCCTTGATCACGTTTTCTGTCTCGGTTTCTCTCTCTGTCTGCCTCCCTCCATCCCAGCCTCTCATTTTCTATCACCAGCTCTGTATTATGCACACAAACACACACGCACCCCTCTCCCTATGCTGTTCAGTGCTATTATTATTTTCTGTGAATTTCCGATGTGGCAATGTGCAACGGAACCTACATAGAAAGCAGTCTCCAATTAGGGTAGCTCTTTTCATGTTGAGGATGCCGTGCTGCATATAAAAGAGGGGATTCATGAATAAGGAGGAGGTTAGCTGAGTCGGTGCTCATTGACAACACGCACTTTCTTGCATTCGCACGCAAGCAGGGATGCACACAAATGCACAGAGACACACATGCATGCACATCCCTAAAAAAGTAAATCACATCCTAAATGCCCGCAGACTCACTCACTCCTGTTCCCCTCCAAGGCTATTGGAATAGGAAATATCTGTATCATTTGCTACGGAGATGGGATAAAACATTAAAGGGGCTTTTCCAGCTACCCTTAGTGCCTGCGCAAGAGTGCAAATTAAAAGTTTATCTTTCAAAGTGCCTCCTGTAAAGCAAATACTTAGAGCCTGCGGTGAGATGAAATAATTTCTCTCTCAGGTACAGTAAAATCAAATGCACTTTTTGTAAAGATTTTCATTGTCCGTTTGTCTGTTTCCTCTGATGGGAACTGATGGAAGCGATGCTAAAGCTTCAAAATGTTGCTGAAAATTACAGATCATGCTGATTGGAGATGCAGTACTCAATCCACCTTCTCTTTTTCTCTGCTGGTTTGTCTGTAAACTTTAATTCAGAGCACAGTATCCCGCCATATGATAAAGTGGAACATAAACCAGCAAGTTCTAAAATTGATGTTTATCTGGCGGCATCTTTTCTTTATCCTGTTATTACTATCACATCTTCTTTGCCTGGCACCAGCCTTACGCTTAGTTTCTCTGAGTCGGACAAAACCATCCGTTAAACCTCTACAGGGCTTTTCTACATGGTCGAAATATACCAGCCAGCCAGGGAAAGCAAGGGGGATTTGGATATATTCACAGCCACAGGGGGAGGAGAGAGGAAAGCAAAGGGAGCCAGCTGGGAAAAGACAATAATTCAGAATCTGCCATAATTCTTCTTCAAGGCCTCTTCCCTCCCTAATTCCCCTGGGTGGAGGTGCACTTAGTCACTTAAGCTTTCTGGCCGTGTATCATGGAGGATTTGGATAGCATGGCCTTCTACTGTAACAGAGGCGGATTTAGACGTCTGCACTGGGGCCTCCTCGGCCACTTTGATACTTTAAATACACCCATTCTAGCTCCCTGTTTCGTATGCCTCAAGCAGGTTACAGGTAGAGTGCTGACCTGCCTCTACTATATAAGCCAGTTTAAAAGTGGTAATGGCCACTGTTTTACTATTTTAATTTATATTACAGTATGCCCATCACATAGTGTTGATGAAGAATTTCATCAGCAGGGAGCTTCTTGCATGCTTTTTGGTCGTTTCTCCAGCTGCCAGTCTAGAAGCTCCTTTTAGCACAACATTTTACATGTTATTCAACCTCACGCTTTTTGAAAAATCTTTGCCTCTCAGTGAGAGGTCAACACCAAAACCAAGATGTGACTTCAACCTTCTCAAAATACGTCGGATGATGGAAACCATCAAACACCCGATCAGGAATGTGGTCATTTTAAAGAGGGGAACGTCTGTTGAAGATTTCAGGAGAATGAGTTATTGATTGTATTGAACCCGTGTCATGCATGAACAAGTGGAAAAAAATTGAGCTCATTCACATTATTCAATCATTTATTGTAGACAATAAGCCCTGAATGAGTCATCAATATTGAATGGAATTGATATTGAATAAGACTCATGCATGAGAAATTCATTTGAGGGTCCCAATGCGGGGTCACTTTACTGGCTCTTGGTGGTCTAATTGTAATTGAGTGAGATAAAGAATAAACCATCCAGTCATGACATGTGAATGAATCCTGACTATATATATCAACAGCACTATATTTTCACTGGTTGAAATCGTGGTTGAAATGTTTTGAGAGCGGCCAGCGACAGCGAGAGGATCTTCTCACCGAGGCAACCTCTAACTGGGTCACAGCGAGGCAAAACAAAACAAAAAATAGAAATGAGATAAATCTGGGTGGGGTATGAGGTTCTTTTGGAAAGAGTCTGCATGTGAGGATAAGAGGTGCGATGGGCTGGTGCGTCTCACTACATTTGATACGTCTCTCAGCCTCTGGCATCAGATAAGTCACTCTGCTCAGAAGAAGTATTTTGAAATCTCTGGGCTTATGATAACTCCTGTTGGATCCGCTTAGGTAGACGCGAAAGATGAATGTGGACCATTAAAAAGTGATGATAGAAGTAGTCGTTGACTAAGCCCATTTCAACACAACAGATCTTTCAAAACAGTCCACCTTTCAAACATGCTTTTGTTTGTTCAGTATAACTTCAAGTTCATACTTTAAAAGAGATGGAATGATTATTTTTCAGTCTGATGGTTGGCCTGCATTTCAATGTCTTTGTGAAATGTACAGTCTGAGTTCATGTTTACGGTGGTATTTTCCGTGGCACTGCTTGTTTCAGCTACCAAGTTGTTCCTCTCTTCATATGCATGTGTATATTTTTTTTGGAAAGACATCCCCTCAAGGGTTGAGAACAATAAATGTTAAATCTTTTCATAAACTACGTATAGATTCAAGTTGTGTTTGGCAAAAAAGTAGAGCACTTTTGTGATATAGCAGTTGTTCTTGTCAAAAATGCCGCTCTTGTAGGAAAGGTGGCATAAAAGTACGAAGTATATCAGCAACTGTTAATTATTTTCATGATTATTTAATACAGCAATTACTTTTTCAATAAACTGATTAATTATTTAGGCAAGAAAAGGTAAAAACAGTTAATTCTAATATCCCTATGAGATGTTTTGGGGATTCTTTTGGGATTTTCACGCCAACAGTCTAAAACCCAAATGTATTCAATTTAAAAATAATAAAACGCTGAAAACCAATCTGCAAACCAGTTATGTTTGATATTCTTTCTTGAGCAATGACTAATAGCGATTAATGGATTATTAAAATAGTTACCAATCAACGTCCTTTCAACAAATAGTTTCTGCACTAAAACAAAGCAAATTATGATTATTTAAAGTAGCCAAATAAACATTTGTTTATTAAAATGCAAATGTCACCTGCTTGCAGAACAAACTCCATGAGTACACAATCAAGGTATGTTTACCAAATGTTTTTATTTAAATAAGCATCTCCATATTGTGTGTCCGTATTGTTATGTACTCTTACATAAACGTTCGGGTTGAATAGTCAAGTCAAGCCAACAATCAGCTCTTGCGGTCGACAGGATGGCACCAATATTACTGTCTACTGCTAAAAGTTGCACACTAGACATTGTTTTGACCCACTCAACACACACACACATTCAGACAATGAAAGTACTCAACATACATAATGAAGCAAGCACACACACACATTCTCTGTGCAGGGCAGAGGGGAGTTGGTTTTCTACCTGTCAAGATAACAGTAACAACTCTCTTTAAACTTTGCCAGCCTCACTGATGTGAAATAATGGCTAATCGCTGCGAAGCTCTGCAAGAAACACACCCAGGGAGGGCTGTCAGGAAGGTTCAGTCTGTGTGTGTGTGTGTGTGTTCTCACTGGTCAGTGTCTGTGTATCCTTGAGAGAAGGAGGCTGTGGCTCTGTGTGTGTGTGTGTGTGTGTGTGTGTGTGTGTGTGCACGTGCGCGTGTGCGCGCCCCTGAATATGTGTAAATCACCGGTGGTATTAGAGAGCATCCCGCAGTGTTTCTGTCTGGCTAATAAAATAACTGGAGGCTGCTTCCGAGACACCCACAGCGAGACGCCACCTCATTCCTTAATCTGTGGCCCCCTTCCAGTTCACCATGACACGACTCTCCATCAAAACTCACTGACCCATCAGGTGGATACTTGTGTTGTGTGCCGGCCTAAACGTTTGTTTGTGAGAAAATGTGTCAGCTGAATATCATCCCAAGTAGGAGATCAACATAGCCCTTTGCAGCCACATTCAAAGGGATACCATACAGTAGCAGAGGCATACAACCGCAAGGCGTCAATTCTACCACTTTTATATAAAATGAAAATATGCCGTATTTGTCTATTTCTTTACACAAAAAAAGTGCTTTAAAGCTTTTTGTTGTTTTCATTCCGCTGTGTTTATTGAACAGGTTAATCTCTCCTAAAGTGTGCCATTGCTTTAAATCTTTCAGAATCTGATTTACTTCTCACCTGTTTGTGTTATATTAAGACGATGTGAGACCGAGGTCATTGTTGCTGTTTTGTGTGAAAATACATCATTTTTTAATGTTAAATTAAGAAACATCGAAAAAATGTGAGAACATGTCTACTTCTTGATTCAGCGAAATTCAACCTGTGCTATGAATAAATTCTGCAGACACGATTTGGTGGAGATACAAATATAGCACATGGGGGGAAAAAAAGCAGGTGCAGTAGATATACGGAGAAGACAAGAGAAGAGGAGATTGTATCAGAGATCCCTTGTCTCTCTGCAGTGCAAAACAGCTTGCTCCATGCCTCTGTTATCTCTCACCATCCTTCATATCAGCTTTGGTCATTCTTTAAACTGTAAATCATGTTATATGCTTGATGAACCTGCAGATGCAGAGATATCACTTAAATGTGCTGGTGTGTAGGAACTGAACAGAATTATAGACTTTTGTCTCAGCTAGGCATTTCTTACGGTGCTGTTTCTGTATCGTCTATTCTAGATATTTAAATAAGTGGATATGTCCACCATCGATACTTCACTTGTTGCACAGTAACCAGACAAAATACATTCACTGGGGATTCGCTGGTTTGCATGCTAGATAGCTAAATAGTTAGTCAGCTGAACAACATGAAAATCTTACTTGCAAATGCCATTTTGTTTAGATGTTGGACCCTAACCCTTAACCACACCAATAAATTCTGTCTGCCCATGGCTCGCAAGCTAGCATTCAGTTTAGAGCACTGTTAGTTCTGTTTCTCTACTGGGGTAAGCCTCTTTTTATGTACAAATCACTTTGACATTTTTCTTTACTGCAGAAAAGGCAGGACTTTTTGACGATGAAGA